CTTTAGTTCTTTGTGCATTTGGAGTATTTTCCTCACCATCCATGAAGCTTGAGGTGCTAGAACACCCCATAAGGTCCCTTGTTTCCCATAGTACATATGAACCCATTTCACCCACAGTCTATCTTTTTTAGTACTCAAACTCCTTTGTAACTTGCTTATTGCAGCTTTATTCCATGTTTGGATATACAGTAAACTGAGTCCCCCTGCAGTTTTAGAACTACATAGTTGCTCCCATGCAATCAATGCCTTCCTGGATGCATCTACCCCTCCTGTCCATAGAAATGTCCTGCATAATGTTTCAATACATTTGCTTATTGCTGATTCTAACAAACTACAAAGTGGAAATAGTAGGTATCAAGTATACTGGTAGTGTTATGGTCCCTTATCGACAAGTCATGTTCTTTTATCATATTGCAATTACAAGGGAAGTTGGAATTTTAAATTCATATTCTCATTAGCGTACTTGCAAACTTGATAATGTAGGATACAATCACTGGATTTTTACTATCAGGAGTTGGCAATGTTGATTTGAGGAGGAAAACTAACTATACTATTGTCGATGCAAGTATGTTTTCAACTTTTTGTTCCCTCTACTTTCCGTTTCTTATGGTTTAGATATATCAGTGAAGCAGATTGAAGATGCTTTTAAAGAATTCACCACAAGGGAGGACATTGCTACAGCGTTAATCAGCCAATATGTGAGTTTTTATTCTATTTTGCCTCTTGTTTATGGCAGCATCCGTAAAATCATTTCAACTGCTGGTTTTTCACTTTTATATGGAGAATGTCGAATAATTAGCATGCTAGTGCTGATTGGAGGTAAGACAGTGTAGCTTTGAACATGTGAAGTAGCTCATCATAGGGAAAAATTTAACTGTCCTTAGACCCAGAGGTAGCTTGACGTGAGAAACCTGATTGAGAAGCGGAAAATAAATTTTAATCAGAGTATGATATAGGAAGCTAAGCGTCGTAAAAAAACTTTTATGCGACAGTTCCACCACTTGCCTGGTTTACTTGTATTTGCAAAGTCAACCTTGAATGGTGTGTGGCCCTCGAACGGGAGCCTTGGAGCAACAATAAAACTATCTTTGTGTGACCTATGAGTCATGGGTTCGAGCTGTGGAAGCAGCCATTAATGCTTGCATTAGAGTAGGCTATCTATATCACACCCCTTCCCCTTGGGGTGCTGCCCTTCCTTGGACCCTGCCAATGCGGGAGGCTTTGAGCACCACTGCCCTTTTACCTTGAATGGCGTCTAAATAGCAAAATTGAGGAGTCATTGCCATATGATGCCAACTTCTATGACTGCAAAGAGGAGGACCGTTTGTCTAAAATGACTCTGTCCTCCGCATACAAAAATCAATGCTTCGATGTATCTTCTCGGAAATTAACTGCTCTCTTTTGCCTCTACTTGTAGTTGCTCTAATAAATACTTCGGATCGAATGAAAGTTTCTCCCATTTTGCATCAAACTTATAGCTATATGTCCACTGTTTTTCATATTCAGGTTGCAAACTTGATAAGATTCTTGGTTGATAGTTACAATAAACCAATCCCAACCATTCTGGAGATTCCATCAAAGGACTATCCAAATGATCCTGCTCACGACTCTAATTCTTTCACGAGTGAAGTACCTCTTCTCTACTGAATAGTGGCATCTGAAAGACAATAAGGAAAAAATGGTTTACGGTATATCCCTGATCATCAGTTCACCATTTTATTATGCATCTTTCTATCATCATTCACCTAAAGATTATTCCTTAATCTTTCTTGATGCTTAACTCACATTACCTGTTCAGTCCCTTATTTACTGCTGCTTTTTTTCACTTCTTGACTGAATAATTTATCGTTGTAGTGAGTTGAATGTTGGTCACTCAATTGATTTTGCATACGATTGATGTTGTGATGGAGTGTTTATAGAAGGACAGAAATGTACTGTGTGCTTATTGATATAATGAGTCAAGATTTGGGTTGGTGTTGCGTCAATGTGTTAAAGTCTTAAAGGTAAACTTACAATGATCTTGTATCTGTTTTCTGTTTAAGTCATTGCCTTTTGTTATTCAAATATTAAGAAACAGAAGCCATAATTTGAGAAATATCAAATTATAAAGATTCTATCGACTTCAATGACTTATTGATACCAACGACACATTTACACTTGTTGTTTTTTGATATTTTACGGGGTGTTAAGGCCTGGTGTGCTGTTTTAGCTTGACCATTTCTTCTGTGTTGGTTGAGCAATTGGAGAAATTGTATGCACCACTTATCGATAGAGGCCCCGACCTAAACGAGATGTACTTTTCCAGCATTGTTGGAAAAGCCATTGAAGAATTCTTGGTGACACTACTTATGTTTCATTATTTTTCTTTTATATATATTTTTTTACTAATAATTTAAATAGCCTCTATTTACAAAAAAAAATTAGTGGGAAATTAATTATGTTCCCTCTACTTCTCTTTACCTTAAATTAAATCCTATTCCTAAAGAAAGTAGGAGAAATAAATAAAATAGTAGGAAACTTTTTGTTTCCGCCTTACCCTTTGGGGTGGCCCAATGGTTTGGGTTGGGACTTCCATGTTGGAGGTCTCAAGTTCAAAACCCCTTGCCAGCGAAAGCAAGGGGTTTGCCTTCTGGGTCGAGCTCGTCGTGCCGGGCTTGCCTAGTGCGGGTTACCTCTCCTATGTGGTTTACGAGCTATTACTTAGGAGCGGGGGTTTTACCCTATGCGCACCCAAAGGGTAGCGGCTGCGGGTTTCCCTTGTCATCAAAAAAAGAAAAAACTTTTTGTTTCCGCCTTAAGTTTCCAAAACAAAAATAGGAAATTAAATCCTTAAATCGTAGGAGAAGTAAATAAAACAGGAATATCCATCTCTATATATACTCTGTTCTTTACCCTCATACTCTGTTACTTCAAAAAAATAAAAAATCCTACTTAGAAAATCTGGTGTTGAACAATGAGTAACTCACAGCGTAGAATTGGAGTTAGAAATAGGCGATCCCCCTATGATCGTTCTTCCAGAAGAAGACAACACGATCATCCCTTCGTTTTGGGATTACAAACCACAATTACTCCACACAGTGTCGGAATTACAATTATTAACATCAGTAGTCGTGATTTAGTGGAAAGGGCCTTAAGGCAGCAACATGTACCAGACTATTTCAATGGCGGATCATCACAAAATTCTTCATATGATTCTCAACCAGAAAGTGAACTACTGTTTGATGATCAAGAGGACTTATTCAATGGCGGATCATCACAAATTTTTTCAGATGATTCTCAACCAGAAAGTGAACTACTGTTTGATGATCAAGAGGCTTATACGGAGGAGAAAGAGGACGATGCCATATGATTGGGGTATTTTAAAACAAGAATTCATCATGTTGCTGATGGGGTAAATAATCCTACAGAAACTGAAGAAATTTGTGCCATATGTCAAGCAGGATTTGAGCATGAAGAGTCCATTGGGGCACTTGGGTGTGGACACGAATGTCGTACAGGTTGCATCAAACAATGGTTGCTGAGGAAAAAAGATTGTCCCATATGTCGAGCTTCTGTTTTGCCCTGAGATACATAGCATATAGAGATTGTTTTATTATGAAATTATGTTGTAATGAAGTTTTGGATGTAACGCACTATAGTCTTTGATATATACGAGAACAATTTGTTTCATATCCTATATTTAGTTTATGTAGACACTCTAACTGTAGTAGTAATGTGATATATTGATGCTTGTATTTCTTTTAATGTTCGTCGATTAGTTTATTTTCGGTTGATTGTACAGAAATCTGGACTTTGGTCAGCTGTTGTATGGTCTCTATGTTGTCTTTTTAAGTCAAACTTTGGAGTAGTCTAAAACTAGTGTATTTCTTAAATCTCACTTATATCCTAATTCCTAACAGACTTACAATTCTTTAAATAATAAAAAGACAGTTGACAGTAATATTTATTGTAACAACTAAATTTCAATCCTAACTGATTAGTATTAGATGTATAGATTCTTTAGCATCCATTGTTTTATGTTCTCAGTTAAATCCGCGTTGGCTCCAAGAGGTTGTTAATATTTTTGGGCATTCTATGTCATACTAGCTACCTTTCACCGATACAAGTATCAAAATAACATTTCAAACAACACGAGGAATAGAACAAGATATCGAATAACCATGTCCACCAAAAATTAGACAGATACGTAGATAGAAGTAACTAGCTCTCGAGATTCATTGTGCCAGTATCATAAGCCAGCCTTTATTTCAAGACTTGTTAGCTCAAGCTGAAGAAGAGTTTGGCTATGATCATCCACAAGATACCTTGCAAAGAGAACGTGTTCATTGATCTTACTTCACGCTTAAGAAGATCATGAGTTGCATCACAGTGCAAATTCTTTAAGAAATGTTTTTTTTGTAAAATAGAACTTGTAAATGAGAAAGAGGATATTTTAGAGATGGGCCATTTTCATTGTAAATTTATGAGTGGTAAAAGTTCTACTTCTGATTAATTACTCACTCTTTAGTCATATTTGCCTAGACTTTCAGAAATACCGTAATGAAAGGAACATAGGAGTTTGTTGCTAGGTATTTGACCAAATAGGATTGTCCAGTTCCTATAGAACTATCACTAAAATACTCCTAGAGGGGGGAATTCTCTTTAATTAGATATCTGAATCTAGCTTCTATAGTGCTCTAAAAATGTTACGACCAAGCTTATGATATGTATTGTCCGCTTTGACTCAACATCTTAACAGAATTAAAAGTGCGTGTACCATGTGAACTTGTTCTATACCTTATAAACACAAGATATTTAAAGTCAAGCATTTGATCATATCGAATACCATATTTTGGGTTTTTGTAAGATTAAGTTCTATAAATTCAGAAAAATAAGTACAAAGATGAGAATGTTAAAGCTTATGAATTTCAATTTGTAACAATACATGCTTTCAGTTGACTATTTTTCACTTTCTATACAATCTATTTTGAGCTAAAATTTATAAAACATCATGTCATGACTCAATAAACAAGAATCTGTTGATTTCCACTTTCTAGGTGCAAAGAAGAAGTTGAACAGCAACATGAAGGAATTGATAGGAGCAACGCTTTTTGAAGATCTCTGGCAGCTACACCTTTCTTGATTAGTGAAACGATGTAGTCCATGAAGGCTGAATCACAAGGTACTGTTATAGGGCCACCACTCGGCAGTCCAAACTCTTCTTCAAACATGTTCAAAAGTTGTCTAACGACCTCATTTTCAAGGTAAGTCAAGGGAAATGCATAGCGCCTTTGATCAATTGTATAGCTTACAAAATGCCCTTTTTCAACTATAGAGGATGAGGATGTATTGCAACTGTCTGCCCTCTTCCTCTGCTTGGCCGCAAACTTCTGCCATCTCCTGGCCATCTTGATGAGTTTCTTAGCGCTGAGCATTGCCATTTTTCTTGGAAGAATGGAAACAAGAAAGTTGCTCCAAGGCTTCGGTTCGAGGGCAGCACACCATTCAAGGTTGACTTTGCAAATACAAGTATACCAGGCAAGTGGTAGAACCGTCACATGAAAGATTTTTAATGAAGCTTAACTTCCTATATCATATTCCGACTAAAATTTATTTTCCACTTCTCAATCAGGTTTCCCATGTCAAGCTACCTACAGTTTAGGACAATTGAATTTTTTCGTGTGATGAGGAACTTCACAAGTTCAAAGCTACACCGTCATACCTCCAATAAGCACTAACATACTAATTATTCGACATTCTCCATAACAAAGTTATAACAAGCAGTTATGCTATGAATGGTGGCCATAAAAAAGAGGGAAAAATAGAATAGAAACTCACATATTGGCTGATTAACACTATTGCCCAATGATCTCCCTTGTGATGAATTCTTTAAAAGCATCTTCAATCTGCTTCACCACTATTTCTAAACCATAAGAAATGGAAATATATATATATATATATATTACATTCTTTCTCAAAAAATAAATTAGAGGGATAGAAAACGTAAAAGCTTCATCACTGCCAAGAACTTAACAATCCTAATCAAGCAACCTCGATTTTCTCGCTTTCATAATTTCTTCAGCTATTAAATCACAATAATAGAGAGAACAAAAAGTAGAAAACATACTTGAATCGACAATAAGATAGTTAGTTTCCCTCCTCGAATCAACATTGCCAACTCCTGCTAGTAAAAAATCCAGTGATTGTATCCTACATTAACCAGTTTGCAAGTACGCAATGAGAATATGAATTTAAAATTCCAATTTCCCTGCAATTGCAATAAGATCAAAGGAATTGACTTGTCGATAGGGGGCCATAACACTAACAGTATACTTGAGGTCTCCTATTTCCACTTTGTAGTTTGTTAGAATCAGAAAAAAGATTTAAGAACATATTCTATCCAACGACAAAATCCAGTTTTATACACCATCATTTACTATAATGAATTCGTTCAACAACATACCCAATATAATCCCACAAGTGAGGTCTGGGAGGATAGGGGATTTACAAGACCTTATCCTTACCTTTGTGGGGTAGGGAGGTCGTTTCCAATAGACCCTCCATCTCAACAGAAAAGAAAAAAACTATTTAACCATGGTAGCAAGAAAATATGACGGCAAAACAGCAAGATACAAATCAAATGAAAGCAACTAATACTAATACACATAGAAGAAAAAAAAAAAGGAAGTGCAACAACACTCAACTACCTACAAACCTTCTAACCTAATCCTGACCTCCACTCCTTTTAGGTAACAGATTCAAATTGTAAAGATAGATATAGTGAAAGATTAAATAGTGAATCACCTCATCAGCAATCATAGCAATGAAGGCTGAGTTATTTGTTCTGATAGAAGCTGGATTAGCCATCTAAACTGAAATTATTGTAATTGTAACCAACAACAACAACAAAAGTGTAAGTCAATCAAATGGCAAAACCTAATTAGCAAAAACATGAATTTGGGGATTCTGATAAAATTTCAGATGCAAATTAAGTCTAAACCAAGGAAGTATAACAGAATCACAATATACTAATTGAACTAGGTTTTTCTGAATCTCGAAATACGAGAGGAGCCATGTAAATCAAATGTTGATAATATACTAATTGAATCCAGACGAAACAGGAAACAAAACAGACTGAAAGAAACTCCGAATAGCTTACGCGCCGCCGATGAACGGCCAAAAAATACAGACTGACCGGAGCATAAGCGCCGACGACCGGCAAAAAAATTTGGACCATTTCTCGATTTGTGCGTGTCATCCTTGCGCAGGGGCCATGCTAATCTTCTCTGTATCGTTCCAATTTTATCGGATGTCCCCGAAGGGACGAACTCCATTGCTTCGCTACGCTTCTTATTCTGCTGTAAACTTCTCGCTGAGTTCGATGTGGGAGAAACGTAAAGAAGATACAAGTAGAGTAAATGTCGTTTTGGGTCCTTAAGTTTCAAAACACAAATATTTAGTCCTATTTTAACAGCATTTATTTCAACATCACCCATATTATCATAAATTCAGTTTTTATATAGACATAATATAAACAGTTTGTTAATTTTCGTTATTATGAAAAGCAAAAAAAATAGATTTCATGATTGTAGAGAGGGTCACATAAGTAGGAAAATAAGTCACATAAGTATTATTTTTGGGTTAATTACACTAAATACACTTACGGACTCCCTATACTAAAGGATGGGTTCATTCGAACCTTGTGAGTGAAAAATGATACTATTCATACGTAGTTAAATTTATTTTTTATGTATATGTAGTTGATGTGGAACTTCCTTCATTTCATGTTTACTTCTTTAGATTTTAAATCCCCTTAATGAAAATTATAAATAAGAAAATTTATTTATATGGAACTCTATAAAGAAGATAAATAATTTTGTTGAATATCTTTGTTCACGCATTTGTATGAATAATTTTGTTGAATAAGTTTGTACCTTGGGCTACATGAGCCCAAAAGCGTGTGTGTCATGTGAACTTGTTTTATACCTTATAAAACTCATTATTTTCCTCTCCCATTCTGAAAGGAATGTGTAAAGATTTCTAGTCATGCATTTGATCATACCAAATACCTAATATTAGTTTTAGCATTCAGAAAAATTAGTCCAAATATGAGAATGTCAAAGCTTCTGAATTCCAATTTGTAATAATACATGCTTTTAGTTGCCTATTTTTCACTTGCTATACAATCTATTTTAAGCTAAGATTCATAAAACATGATGTGATGACTCAATAAACAAGAATCTGTTGATTCCCACTTTCTAGGTGCAAAGAAGAAGTTGAACAGCAACATGAAGGAATTGATAGGAGCAATGCTTTTTGAAGATCTCTGGTAGCTACACCTTTCTTGATTAGTGAAATGATGTAATCCATGGAAGGCTGAATCACAAGGTAATACAATAGGACCACCACTCGGTAGTCCAAACTCTTCTTCAGACATGTTTAAAAGTTGCCTAACGACTTCATTTTCAAGGTAAGTCAAGGGAAATGCATAGCGCCTTTGATCAATTGTATAGACTACAAAATGGCCTTTCTAGGAAATGAAATCCTCTTCCTCTGCTTGGCCGCAAACTTCTGCCATCTTTATGAGTTTCTTAGCGCTGAGCATTGCCATTTTTCTTGGAAGACCGGAAACAAGAAAGTAAACTAGAAATTTAGAGCAATTTGGTGTCTGAATAGATAATGCTTGTAGTTTGATGATGAAAACATATCATAGAAGGGGGGTTATTTATATAAAAGGCTTTGCGTTCTTGTCACTAACCGCCGGAGGCAAATCCATGTGCCGATGCTTGGTGGTTATGTTTATATGGGGCCTTAGATTTGTCTAGTTTTAATCAAAGATGTTGATGCATTTATTCAATTCTCTGTCACCATATCTTTAAACCAAGTGGTCCTGGACTAAGTCATAAATTTCGTCAATTCTTGTGACTCATAATTTTGAAGGTGTCTTCTGTTCCAAGTCAAGAGAAGCAGAGGGGCCTAGTGTTGTTCTTAAACAAGTGGCCTCAATATTTTGACAATAATGGAGTAGGCAAAACCATGTGAAACTTCATGTGCTGTTGTATCTCAAATTTCTCTTCACCCAAACACATTTGTGTATGATAATTGTGGTTAGGTTATATATATTAATACACAAAGCATTTGATCAGCACACAAGTATCTAACATTTAAAGAAACTTCCATTGCCTGTGTAGTTCTCAAAAATATTCTTCTTTCTTTGCCTTGATCGTTTGGAGTTACAAAACATTTCTAGCTTGAAGAAAATGGCTATCAAAATGAGTCCATTCATTCAGGCTAATCGGTTCTTACGGAGGTCTTCAACATCTGGAGGTATTCCCAAGGGTCATTGTGCAGTATATGTAGGAGAGAGCCAGAAGAAGAGATTTGTTGTGCCAGTATCATACTTAAGCCTGCCTTTATTTCAAGACTTGTTAGCTAAATCTGAAGAAGAGTTCGGCTTTGATCACCCAATGGGTGGTCTTACAATACCTTGCAAAGAGGATGTGTTTGTTGATCTTACTTCCCGTTTAAGAAGATCATCAGTGGCATCATAGTGCAAATGATTCAACAAATGAAATTTTGTAGAATAGTTGGCTTGTAAATGAGAAAGAGAAAATTCATTGTGTAGTTCAAATATATAAGAACCTTGGACGGAAAATTCTTCCTGGCCAGTTTATGAATAGAAAACATTCTGCTTCTGATTAATCTCCATTTTGGTAATATTTGCTTAAAGAATTCCCTTAATCGCTTAGATTTTCCGTTCTACTTCACTTTGTGGTGCAAATATATATGATGGTCATTAGAAAAGATCCATCATATCCTACTTGGACCTTCAGATGCACCGATCCATAGGTGCAATGTAACAGTATGATGATGGATGGTGGTAAGATGAAACAAGTTAGACCATATATCACAGGAAGTGCTCAAAATATTACTAATCTCTTAGAGCTGATACAAACTTAACCGTGAACATAAAAAATGAACACAAAGGATCTGTACAATGTAATACTGCTTATATCTGGTTTTTGTCAATTTCCCTTTTATTAGTTACAGATTTGTATGTCTCTGTTAGGATAAATGTGATATTTAGAGAATGTACTAGTTAATATTAGGACTTGTAATAACCAAATTTAAAAGTGGAAGGCATGAATATGGTAAATTTTGTGATAAATTAATATTCAATCTGTATGATGCGCTTTACAACTCTGTACTCTTCATCCTCTACCCTATCTAAAAACTATTTTAAGCTATCATGTAATGAAAAAATATTGCTTATGACTCAATAAACAAGAATCTGTAGAGTTCCGATTTCTCGGTGCAAAGAAGAAGTGGAGCAGCAACATGAAGGGATTGAAAGGAGCAACGCTTTGTGAAGATCTCCCTGTAGCTACGCCTTTCTTGATTAGCAAAATGATATAGTCCATGAAGGCTGAGTCACAGGGTAATGTAATAGAACCAGATTTCTGGACAATCAACTGAAAATAAGCTAATTAATGAACATTATATGAAAGTCAAGCATCAATCACATTACTACTACAGTTGTGGAAAAGAATAGATTACCATACAGATCATTTGTCTAATATATGTACTATAAGATGTCTATATAAACTAAATACCGATAATAATGATTTTGGACATGGAACAAATTGTTCTTGTATATATCAAAGACATATAGTGAGTTACATCCACAACTTCAGAACAACTAACTGTCTTACTAAGTTTACACAAACAAGTATTGGTCAAAACTTGAGATTAATACGATAAAATTTCATATCAGGGCAAAACAGAAGCTCGACACATGGGACAATCTTTTTTTCTCAGCAACCATTGTTTGATGCAGCCTGTATGATATTCGTGTCCACACCCAAGTGTCCCAATGGACTCTTCATGCTCAAATTCCGCTTGACATATGGCACAAATCTCTTTAGTTTCTGTCTGATTATTTACTCCTTCAACAACACGATGAATTCTTGTTTTAAAATACCCGAATAATATAGCATCCTCCTCTTGATCATCAAACAGTTCACTTGCTGCTTGAGAATCGCCCCAATTTTGTGATGATCCGCCATTCAAATTGTCTTCTACATCCTGCCGCCTTAACAGTCTTTCCACTAAATCACGACTACTCACGTTAGCTATTGTAATCCCGACATTGTGAGGCACCGATTGATAGTCGTGGGGAGTAATTGTGGCTTGTAATCCCAAAACGAAGGTGGATTGCCTAGTTGTTATTCTAGCACCAAGCCGATATACAGACGAAGAACGATCATAGGGGAATGGCCTAGTTGTAATTCCAACACTACGCCTATAGACAGACGTATATTGCGAACATTGATCATAATAAGAGTTACTCATTGTTCAACACCAGCAATTTCAACAGATGGAATTTCTGAAAGGAATAGAGAACGATTTTGAGATTATTTTTTTTTGAAGAAACAGAGTATGAGGAACAGAGTATATAGAGATCGATATATATTCCTAATTTGTTTAGGAACGTTATAATCCTTTTTGGAAACTTAAGGCAGAAACAAGGTAAAAGTTTCCTATTTTATTTACTTCTCCTACTTTCTTTAGGAATACGATTTAATTTAAGGTAAGAAGAAGGGGAGGGAATATAATTAAAATATAGTAATTAATTTCCCACTAAATTTTTTCACAGAGGGTAATTAAATTATTAATTATACATATATGTATAAAGAAAAAGTAATTACAAAACAATGGCCAAAAAGAGGGGGCAAATAATTGGACGAATTGAGAATGGTGTTACCGAATGTTTCGAAACTTACAGGTGGGACAAGTCCTTTACTTAATATGGTATCAAATCGTTACTTGAGATGTGAAGGCTAAATAGTTTGGCTTTGAGGCATAGTTGATCTCCTTAGGATTAGATTGTAATGACTTAGGACTTGTAATAACCAAATTGAAAAGTGAAAGCTATGAATATGGAAAATTTTGTGATGAAATAATATTCAATTTGTATGATGCGCTTTACAATTGTGTAGTCTTCCTCTCTAAGAACTATGTTTGAGCTAGCATGTACAAAGAGAATGTCGATTATGACCTAATAAACAAGAATCTGTTGAGTTCCAATTTCTCTGTGCAATGAAGATGTTGAACAGCAACATGAAGGAATTGAGAGGAGCAACGCTTTGTGAAGATCCCCAGCAGCTATACCTTTCTTGATTAGCGAAATGATATATATAGTCCATGAAGGCTGAATCACAGGGTAATGTAATAGGACCACAACTCGTAAGCCCAAATTCTTCTTCGGACATGATCAAGAGTTGCCTAATGACTTCATTTTCAAGATAAGCCAATGGAATGACAAAGCGTACTTGATCAGATGTATATACTACAAAATGTCCTTTTTCAACTATAGACGATGAAGATGTACTGCAATTGTCTGTGTCACTATCATTAATCCTCTTCCTCTGCTTGAACGCGAACTTCTACCATCTCCTCGCTATTTTGATGAGTTTCTTAGTACTGATCATTGTCATTTTGGTTTTTGGAAGATTGGACACAAGAAAGTAAATAAGAAATTTAGAGACCTTTGATCACTGAATCGATAATGCTTGTGCTTGATAATGAAAAGGCTCATGGAAGAGGGATTATTATTTATACAAGATGGAGCAAAAGTTTTTGTTACTATCCAAAGGCAAAGCCATGTGCGGATGCCTGTTGGCCAAGTTATTATGGGGCCTAAAGTTTGTGGATATAGCTAGTTTGTAAATAAAATTAAAGACGATTAATTTCTTTGATCAACAACCAACTAGGCAACAACAACATATCAGTGTAATTCTATAAAGTAGGGTCTGGAGAGAGTAGAATGGACGCAGACCTTATCACTACCTTAGAGGTATAGAGAGGTTGTTTCCGATAGACCCTCGGCTTAAGAAAAAATAGTCGGGAGTTGTATAGGGAGAAATAACTAAAATGATGACAGTCATGACAAAATGCTAAGACAACCTGACAAATCATCCTAAACAACAGTCATAACAAGTTACAACGATAATCAAAGTGCAAAAAAAAAAAAAAAAAAACCAAACTCAAAGGACGAAGAAACTATTAGAGTAAAGAGGAATACGCGAGACAATGCTAAACAACAAACTAGGCCTACTTGGTATTTCTCAGCAATGCCAATAAATTGAGACCACTATATGAACAATTGCTGGTAAGAAGCAAAACCATGTTTCTACTCTCTTCTTTGTCATGTCAACATCAACTTCACCAATTCTTGTGGATTTTATTGGGGCTATTAAGACAATATTAAATTAATTTCTTTTCATCTATTCAAATCTTGATGAGCAAAGTAACCCAATCCAGCAAATTAAGGTGCATGCGGATTAGTCTAAATATCGTGATTGGAAAAAGAAAAAGAGTTACTAAAAAAATAGTACTATAAATCACAATAATTAACAACATAAAATATTTAAAAATATATTGAAATTTTTGTTGACACTCGAAGTTTCACAAATGTCACATAAATTGGGACAAAATTGACTGATTTGCCCTTCTGTTTCAATTTTCTCTATTTATTTTTAGTACTTTCTCCGTTTCATGTTATGTATTTAAAAATTACAAAAAAAATTATAGTGCAAATCATAATAATTAACAACTTAAATTTCACATGATGTGCCACATAAATTGCAACAGAAGAGATAACATATATTATTTAAAAATTACGTACTATAAATCACAATTAACAACTTAAAATATTTAAAAGTTATATACGAACTCGATTAACTATGTTACGTCAATCCGAGCTATATAAAATTGAGATATATGGAGTAACATATATTGGGCTCGTATCATATCTAGTGGGTCCACGAAAATGGAGGCCCAAAATTGGCTTTTGGTGCCCAAGTAAACTATATAGACTTTTCTTTTCAAAATCCTTCAAAAGTCCCAGATCGCAATTGTCCGTGAAAAAAGCTATAAAGCACAAATTGCGCTAATCCCGCCCTTTTCGCATTACAGAATTGATCGGCGTCCGACTTCCGGTTAGGGTTTTCTCAACGCCGCCGAAGTAAACGGAGTACTGACTTCTTGGAAGAGTTGTTCTTCACAAGTTTTGCACTTCAATTTTCGTTTTCATTTCCACTCAAGTTTTCGGTAAGTTCACTACTCTGCGTATGCATTTTTTCTGAATGTTCGTTTTCCGTTTGTTTGCAGTCAATCTATTTCAGTTTTAACGGCGAAGTGATGCTTCAATTTTTACTTTGTGGAATGTATGTATTGTTATAATTTTGTATTTGGAACTGACTAAAGGGATCGATCGATCGTTCGTAAACATTAAGTATTGGTGCATGTGAGTTTATGAAATTAATAGAATGCTTTTTGAATCTTGTTGTTTTAAATTAACGATATGTTGAATGTACCAAAATGTACTTTAATTTTTGTGGTCTTGGGCATGTCATGGTTAAAAGTTGAAATTGAAGAGTTGTTTGAAGTGGAATTAGACATTCTTTTTGAAATGGACTAAAAGGAAAGTGAGACAGACAAATTGAAATGGAAGGAGTACTATAATTTGCCTCAATTGATCATACCGTGG